TCCAGAGCCCAGAAGAATTCATTTTTCAAGACAATAACGTCCAGAATCACTTAGACAACAATAATGGTTGGGTTATTCTGACAGCTAGAAGCCAAAAAGTAATTTTCCAGCCTCTGGTCTTTTCAAAACTTTTGCTGACCACTAGAAAATTAATCCTACGCTCATCAAATTCTATTTTCACTCATCTCTCCATGCTACCTATCTCTTTCCCTTACTTTGACAGCAAGATCTATCCTGATGGCAAAATGCTGCTAGTCAAAATACATGGCAGTCCTGAGACCAATTATAATACACTATTATGTATAAATGCTAACTTTTATGGATCAAGAAAGAGGTTATGACTGTAAAGGCCTGATTGACACATGTGGCTAGAGTGCTCCCAAACAACCCAATCCTGACTTAAAATTAAGTCTCATTAATGAAGTTACAAAACAAGTACAGCTATTGCCTTCCCTCTTTTTTTCTTACCATGTTTCTAGGAATAAAGGACTGAAAAATAAAGAGCTGACAGTTTTCCTAGGATGCATCGACACTGAAGAATGAATGCAATTTGAGTCCACTCTTAACTGCCATGGCTCAATGCTATGGAATCATGGGAGTTTTAGTGTGGCAAGACACTGGGACTCTTTGGCAGAGAAGGCTAAAGGTTTTGTAAAAATACAGCATTGAGTCATGGCAAGTGGTATAAGCCAACTCGAATATAAGCCGAGACACCTAGTTTTACCACAAAAAATGGGAAAACATATTGATTTGAGCATAAGTCAAGGGTGGGAAATGCAACAACTACTGATAAATTTCAAAATAAAAATAGATACCAATAAAATGACATTAATTGATGCATCAATAGGTTAAATATTTCTGAATATTTATATAAAACTGTAATTTAAGATAAAAATGTCCAACTCTGATTAAATCATTATTCTATCCTTCTTCAATGAAAATGTGCTTATGTATTCTTCTTCTAATAATAGAGTAAAATAATAAAAGTAATAATATAGTAAATAAATGTAACAACAGTGAAATAAATACAATAAAATAATAAAAGAGTAAAATAACATAAATGCAATAATAATAATAAATAGAGCAAAATAATAAATGTAATATTATAATAATAATAATAATAATAATAATAATTTAAATGATAAATAACTTTGAGTTGAGTATAAGCTGAAGGGGGGCTTTTTCAGCCTAAAAAAGGGCTGAAAAACTCAGCTTATACTCAAGTATATACGGTAATAGCAAATCTAAACCACCCTCAGATCAAGTGAGATTTTGGTTAAATGACTAAGGGTAAGATATACCTATTACTAAGAATATTAGATAATAGTCTCTAGAGAATAATTTACTAGAGACCTGACAGGGAAATTCTTTGCAAAAGGCTGTGACTTGGGGAGCTGAAGAAAGTAGATGGGATAAGATAATGTAAACGGTGATTTGTAACTGAATTGTGATGTTTTATATAATGCGCATAGATTAAAGGTAAAAGTTTTCTCCTGACATTAAGTCCAGTTGTGTCAGACTCTGGAAGTTGGTGCTCATCTCCATTTCTAAGTCGAGGAGTCGGAATTGTCCGTAGACACCTCCAAAGTCATGTGGCCTTCTCGGTGGTGGCCCCCGTCTGTGGAATGCACTCCCCAGTGAAATCAGAGTGATTCCTTCTCTCCTCTCCTTTTTTTGGCTTTGGGACCAAGTATTCGGGCAGCTGGCTGAGCAACATCTGCAATGACTTGTGAGAACTGTCAATTAAGAGACCTTGGACTGGAACTCTGGACTATGATTTGGATTTGCGGACTCAGACTTGTGTTAATATTTTAAGGGCCAATATTTTTATCGCTTTTTTAATGTATTTTTATTGCTGTTGGCCTGTTCATGTTAACTGTTGTGCCCTGTTTCTTTGTCGGCATCTAATGATGGCCGGTTGTAACCCATTGGGGGTTGAGAAGGATGGGATACAAATACTCCAAATAAATAAATAAATAAAGCACTGTTACCTTCCCGCCGGAACGGTACCTATTGATCTACTCACATTTGCATGTTTTTGAACTGCTAGAATGGCAGAAGCTGGAGCTAACAGCAGGAGCTCATCCTGTTCCCCAGATTCAAGCTGGCAACCTTTCGGTCCACAAGTTCAGCAGTTTAACCCACTGCACCACCAGGGTAAACATTGTAAGAATTAATTTTTTTAATAAATAGGGAAAAACTTCTCTAAAATGACAATGCCATAAATCCTTTATTTAGACTCCCCTTCAGATAGATCTATACGGGAGCATGTTGATTTATGTTTAACGCTGTGGAACCAAAGCACTCTACAACATGGGGAAATCTTGCAGTTCACTACATGAGCTACAATGAGACTGAAATCATCCCGTGTAATCCGCTCTGAATTACACCCATTTTCTCAATTCTGCTGCAATTCTTTTCTCTTTTCAGTGTAACAGCTACACTACCTCTTAGAAGAGAACAAGAGCTGCCCTTTCTTCTTTTTCTCTCTTGCTACTCCTCTCAGTATTTAAACTGTAGCTTCCCTGGATCGAAGACAGCCCTTTATTGCCTACGCTGTAAAATGCAATATACACCGATGGCACTATATAAATAGGAGTAATAAATGCATGTTACCTAATGCAGCATATCTGCGGCTCTATAAACCTCAGTCCATAACCAAGAACTTTACTCAGAAAAGGCTAACAATATAATTGGGTTGCCTTGGCAACTTGCAGCAGCTTTACCATATTCTCTTAAAGAGGAGAAAGATTGAAATTTTTTTTACAGATTTTAACACAAAACACAAGTCCATAAATTCTCAAGCTGGGAGCTGCTGATTCTTGTACTGTGGAAAGTTCACCATTTCAGCAGCCACAGCGATTTCAAGCTGTCCTCTCCAAAATCAACTTTAATTAATTGCAGTGGACTAAAAAAAAAGGCAACAAAGCTTGGAACATCATGTTTTATGAGGCTTCATTACAAAAAATCTTCACTCTGTTGTTGCTTTTCTTGAAAATCTGAAGGGTTCAAGCAACCTGTTTATGTCAAGAAGTAAAACAAGTGGAAGCTTTGGAGAGATAACAGGGAAAGCTATCTGTTCGAGTGAAAAGTCCTGATAGTATCAGCCGCCGTCTTCCAACTAGAATACATGCATTCATCGCTTTGGCAACATCAGACAATAAATTCAAGGTTTCTCGTGTATTCCTTTCTCCTTTTTCAAAGGATAAAGGACAAATGTGCCAGAAAGAGAGATAAATATTGCCTTGGCAGATCCAAAATACTCAGGTACTTTGGATCAGGGAAAAATTGCATGAGTGTGTCCCTACATACTATTTCTGGCATTAAATGTAGTTTTCTGCAGCAGGATGGGTCCTGCTCGTCCTGGCATCAATCATCATTACCTTTCATGCACATGCAGCCATGCTTCATTAGGCACCACAATGTTCATTTATATACAACAGAAGGCGCAGAGAAGATGCATACAGAAACCCCCTCCACTCCATTGAGATGACTAGGTAGCCCTGCACTGCAGCAGAACCAGAAAGATTCTTGAAATTGAGCCACGCGCTGCATCTACATTGTAGAATTAAGGCAGTCTGGCACCACTTTAACTGCCATCGTTCAATGTCTTTAACACGGGCTTTGTCACCAGCAGCAATAGATCTTCCTAATCAGAAGTTTGGCAGTTCAAAGCCCGGGTCGGGGTGAGCACCTGATTTTTAGCCCAGTTTACTGTCTACCTAAGCAGAAGCATTCACTCAGTCTTATAAAATGAGGACAATGACCCAACTGATGCAGTACTCATTCCAGAAGTCTACATGATAACTGAATGTAGTATCTGGTGAACCTGAGATTTTTTAAAGGTTTCTAGCTCTTATTGTCATCAAAGAATGTCTCCAACACTATGAAAATCCCAAAGGACAGATACTTCCTCAGTAGAGTTCTTGCAGGCCAAGAGAACAAGGTTCAGAAAGAAGAAGACAATATATAAAGCAATTTTATTAGCATCGTGGAACCACAGAACTTGGTTTTTTCTTGACAGCAGCTTTTGACAGGAGCAGAAACAACATACTTATAGCTTGGAAAAATTAACAGCCAGAATCTCCCACTGACCAAGCTGGCTGGGGCTTCTGGGAATTGCAGTCCCTTCCAGGCTTTATGTTTAACTTCCTGTTTCCTCCCTATTTCAAGTGGGGTTTTCTCAATCTGACTAACATCTGAGCCTTGAAGACTTTTAACTTTTAGCTAATAAAATATGGCAGCTTTATAGAATAATAATAATAATAATAATAATAATAATAATAATAATAATAAACCTTTATTTATATTCCACCCTATCTCCCCTGGGGAGCTCGCGGCATATTCCAACAAACAAAAAGTGAAATATTCAATGCCTCAATGAGAGTAAATTCAAATATAAAAACCCAAGATAACCACACATAAAGAGCAACTTAAACATAAAAACTATAATTTAGATAAAACATCAATTGAAAATTGTAACTAACATAGAACTTAAACATAAAGCATCCAAATTAATAATAAGCTTTCTGATGTGGTGAGCGGTACTCAGTGACTTGATCCATGGATGTTATTGTTGCTGCCTTAGACAGGTAAGGTTAGGACTGGGGGGCTTCTGATATTTTTTCAGTTCTATGTTATAAATAGGAATGACAATTCTGCCAATCTTTTGGCTACTATACATAATCTTGTATGTGGGAGGAGGATTTCATAGCTACCTAATGTAGAGCCTTTTCTATTGTTGGTGTATCTGTAATCCCCTCTACACGAGGCCCTGGCCAGATAAATTAATCAGTTGTGTTCTGCTCATTCCATTCTTTCCTAATATTTAATGATTTTAAATTGCAGTTTACATTGATTAGATTTTTTGGCTTGTGAGGTGGTTTTAATATTTGTCACTGTAAGCATAGGTTAAATAATTAAAATTTATTGCGCAATAAAGCAGCAGCGCCACAGTTTGTACAGAGTGAAAAATGCACCATTCTGCTTTTATACATTACCGTATTCATGTCCAAAGTTTCTTCAATCATCATTTGGAAATTAGAGAAATCTGAGTGTAGCTCCTTAAGAGGCTTTATAAACACAGCTTCCAACAGCATATCATGATTTCCTAACAAAACAAAGCACATGCATACTTAAGAATGAACGAATACATTCTCCATGTATGTGTCAGATACTTTTAAAAGTCTTCAGTGGGTAAGTTGTTGTTATTATTATTATTATTATTATTATTATTATTATTATTATTATTATTATAAGATAGACTCTGGCAAAAGCCAGTAAAGGTAGTTCCAGTGGTGATCGGCACACTGGGTGCAGTGCCTGAAGACCATGACCTGCACTTAAAAGCAATCAGCACTGACAAAATTACCATCTGACAGCCACAAAAGGCCCCACTACTCAGATCTACACACATTATTCAGTAATACATCATATAGTCCTAGACACTCGGGAAGTTTCCAACATATGATCAAATACAAATGCCAGCATAGTGATCTTGTTTGCTATGTACTAATCTTGTTATGTATCAAATAATAATACACAATACTTTATTTATATCCCACCCTCTCTCCCCAGAGGGACTCAGGGTGATTTCCAAAACATAACAAAAACGGCAAACGTTCAATGCCAAGAACAAATAACAACAGTCAAGACACAACATGAAATGAAATAAACTAAATATAACTTATAAACAACCTTTGCGCTAAACCAGGCATGGGTAGCTGGTAGGCGGTTAGGAATTGTGGGAGTTGAAGTCCAAAGCACCTGGAGGGCCAAAGTTTGCCCGTGTCTGGTTTAGAACAAAGGCAGTCCCAATCCCCAATTCTAAATTTCTTATTTTTAAGCCGACTCAGTTTTTGTTTCTATGAATACATTGGGTTCAAAGGACATCCTACCTCTGCTTTCCACTTAGGTTCCTGGTTAAGTTACATTGCCATTAGCCTTAACAGTGGGCATCCTGGTATGAATATAATTGAACTGGCCACATCCACAAGGCAGCCATGAGAATCTTTTGAGAATACCCATAGCACCTACAAATATACCCACCAAATCAAAATTGTTAGGATCTCTGCTTTATATGTCTGACATAAGGTCATCCAACCTCATATTCAAACCAATTTGATTCTTTGGGTCTGCAAAGTAAGTCCTATAGGCCAATACGTAAGATCCTTGTGCTAACTCTAATGTAGTCAAATGGTGCCATTCATGCACAAAGAAAGGGCACTGGCATGCCCACAGGGCTTCGAAGGCACCCAAACTTTGTTTTGGAACAATACTTAAGGAGAATGGGCACAAAAATGGGACATGAGTATATTCTACGTGCATGAAATGTTGGCTGACTTTTGGTGCAAGGTAAAAAAATGATGGAGTGATGCATCTTGTAAAAGGATATGTCTGGCTAAAAAAAAGATAATTTACATAGTTAGCGACCTATATGCATAGACCTAATGAATCTATTTCCAAATCTCTGCACTTCCAAACAGAACATTCCTACATCCCAAATTTAAAAGCCATTCCATCAGTTTGTCAAATTAATGAGAGTTTTCATCAGACATTCCCATCTGATTTGCTCAACTCCTATAACCAGAAGAGTAGATTTGCAGAGGTTGGCTAAGTTCATCTTGTGTTAACTTAATGAACAAAGCAGTTTTTTTTTCACTTTGGCAATGCCAACCTTAAATTGATGAGACTCTCAACATATGCTTACTACATAGTGGTGGTGGAGGGGAATAGTTTGTTTTATCCCATTCTAAGTTCAAGCTAGAGTCATCAATCCCTTTGCATTCTTTGTTCTGAAGTCCATCAGCACTCTGACTAGAGACCCCCGGTGCTCCCACTTTGATCACAGGACTCCGCGTAGACAGACTCATTCTTCAAGAACAGCCTAGGATTCACTTGTCTCTTAATATCATTCCTTGAAACCTGTCCTATTTGAAGATGCTATATTCCCCATTTGTTGACGTAAGGTACAGCGGGTACTCAATAGTATCAGCTGGGGTTTGGTTCCAGGACCACTGTGGATACCAAAATCTGTGGATGCTCATGTCCCATATATATACAATGGCAAAGTAAAATGGAAACCCTTATATGAATCAAGGTTTGCTTTTGGGAACTTTTCAAAATATTTTCATAGTTGAATCTCAGGATGCAGAATCCATTGATATGGAAGATCAACCATACTTGACTTGGGTTGCTATGAGTTTTCCGGGGCTATATGGCCATGTTCCAGAAGCATTATCTCCTGACATTTCACCCACATCTATGCCAGGTATCCTCAGAGGTTGTGAGATCTTTTAGAAACATAGTTGACTTGCTTTGTAAGCAAAGTTCAAGGGGAGAGCACAAAGCTCCAGGTTCAGCAGTGACCTTTTTACCCCAAGTCTTTCCAATCCAGTTTTATTTACCTAGTTTTCTTTTATTCTTTGCTGTTTATATCAGTTTCCTGATTATTATTGTCTCAGCTGTTTGGGGGGGGGGGAGGTGTTTGGGGGGTATTGTGTTTAATTGGTTTATGGTTCACTTTTCTCAGAATCTAAATTGTAGCCCTGAGAGTCACTGTATTGCTTTCTTATTAACTCTCTTATTTTCTATACTATCTAAACCCCTCCATTTTCTTCCTGATTAGAAAAGGCGAACAAGAAAAGAATGCCTCCTATTATGGTGGGCAAGGAGTTGTTCCTCTCATACCCCCAGAAATACCAGCCAGTTTACCAGCTGTTATGATTTCTGGGAGTTGAAGGCCAAAAACATCTGGGGACCCCAGGTTGAGAACCACTGTTTCAGCAGGTAGCTAAGCTAGCACACACTCTCCCTTTTTCCCTCGCTTATCACACACACAGTTCTCAAAACAGAGAGAAAACTATTTCTTACAACTGCAAAATTTCTCCATTATAGAAGAACCAGGATGTCAGCGTTAAGTCACTTTTTGGACTAACACTCCCAGCATGCCTATTGGGAATGCAAGATACCAGTGTAATTTGTCCCCCTTCCTCCAGTAACCAATAACCCCAAATTTAAAGAAAGAAGGAAAAGCCAATTACCATCAGTTTTGCCCAGGACATGAATCACATTAGGTATCTGATTAACAGACTGGTATATTTTGTAACAATCCTGCAAAGTGGCCTTCTTCTGAAATTTTTTTGCAATTCGACTGAAGTCTGGAAAGCGACGGAGGATGTCTTCTTGAAGGGACTGCCTTAGCTCTGCATCTTCTACAAAGGCTTCAACCAAATTTAGCCTAGGGGAAAGGGGAAAAATAGTTAAAATGCACAAGGTTTCATTGTTTTGAGAGCATTACTTCAATAAATAATGGCACAAAGGTTTTATCTTTCACCAACAGGCAACTCTCTTATGGTGGCTGGAGGGAAAAACACACTGAGAAGAGCCAACATTTACAGACCTTGGCAGCTTCTAGTCAGTTCGCTTTGTGGCCACTGGGAACATTAATGGCAGCATCTACTAAATACTTTAAAACAATAATATTTCAAAGAAAATCAATGAGAAAAGTGACTGTTCAATGATTTAGCAACACCTTCCCTGAGGTCATATTTGAAAGGAGATTAAATTCAGTTGCTCTTATTATTATCGATATGTATGCATATGTGCCTTAAAGTGCAATGCTTTAAATTTCATGAAGTTGACAAGCAACTTGGAAGACAGGCAGGCACACGCACGCACGCACGCACACACACGCGCGCACTGAAGATGGGGCACTAATACATTCTGACTTGAATCACTTAAGCAAAAATAAACCAATATACCCTGTAACGGATGCATCACATACTGGTTTCAGAACCAGTGTCATGTAGTCAAACTACACCTGGCCATATTTAGTAAGTAGAAACAGTTAGATTATCCGTGTTTAAGTGTGTCGTCGAAGTCTTTCATGGCCGGAATCACTGGGTTGTAGTGAGTTTTCCGGGCTGTATGGCCAGCTAATACCTCCCCCCCCCAAAAAAAGGATTCCCCCAGGCAGGAATCAGCCAGGCCTTGAAGATGCAAGGTTTTTCAAAGCTAATCAAGGTGATTAATTGCAACATTCACATCACCTGCCTCCAACAGACAGGAGTTCTTTCTCTCACCCTGGACCTTCCACAGATATATAAACCTCTCTTGTCTAGTTTCCAATATACCTCACAACCTCTGAGGATGCCTGCCATAGATGTGGGCGAAACATCAGGAGAGAATGCTTCTGGAACATGGCCATAAGGCCTGGAAAACTCATCGCAACCCAGTGTGTAGGTCAGGGAGAATCTCTACCTTTGATTAGCACTTCCACATGCCACCCTCCATCATTATGACAATGCAAAAGTTCCTTTTTTTTGGGGGGGGGGGACACCATTCCCAGAATCCCCAGCAGTATTACACTTCAAAAATCTAGATTCTCCAAGGTGTGCCCACTTGAACTATCATCTTCTCCTCTTTGGAAGTGGATATAGGAAATCCAGTATGTGTTCTATATATACAGGAAAAAACCCATATCCACAGGGGATGTGTTCCAGGATTTCACGTGGATGTGCAAAACCATGGGTAATAGCAAACCCTATTACTTCCAACAGAAGTATAGCATAATGTGTTTGAGGATCCAGCGAATGCCTCCAAAGGACATCTCTTTAGGCACTGCAAGGTTCTATGGTCAACTTCCATTGGAAGCAGAACATAAAATCACCTGTAGGACCTAGAAAATGCTAGTGAGAACATGCATTGTCAGACAAGGGTAAATGAAACCATGGGCACCAGGACCACGGTTGTGTAGGTCATAAAGTACAGGTCTGCAGAGGGATGGGAGGGAAGGGGAGGCATTGGTAAATATTTCTGTTTATTAAATCACTTGCCAAAGCTCTGTCTTTTGAGAAATTGCTGAGTCAAAACATACATCCTTGCCCTCGAGATTAACTCTGAAGCTGAAGACTATCTCCTTTAAATCTGCCTGACTCTTCAGGAGAGAGTTATCTCGCTGTCCCAGCATCCTTAGAAATGCATTTAGCAAGGATTGGGGAGAATGTCTTTTTGGTGAATACTTCAACTTATGGTATTGCCTCCCTGAGGAGACTTGGTTGGCCCTGTCTAGACTTCTTTCCTTAGCAGGTAAAGCCTTTTTCTTATTTAGGCAGCCTTAGGTGTCTGGGTTATTGTGCCAAAAGTATTTTTCAGATTGAGTGTTTTTTCATTAATCTTTGCATTGAATACATTTTTACTAGACAGTACTTTTTTCTGAATATCATGTGAACTGCTTTGCATCTCACTCTGAAACAGTAGAACTAAAATATGGTCCACGGCCTCACCATTACTATACTGTTGCAACAAGAGTGACTGGCCTCCCGAAATCCTATTATAGTGCTGAGACTTATTAAATATGGTTTTCTGTGAGCAAGCAGATGGTGACTACTGTATGGCATATGTTCTGTATCAGAAACTAGAGCTGATGTGGTCTATCCAATGCAATTTTCTGAATCAGCACCCCAAATAACCAAACCAAATCTAAAGTTGACCAAAAATTGATTCATAACCCTTTTGGTACTAATGCTGGAGAGTAGTCCCTGGCCAAAGTGGTCCCTGGTCAAAAAAAGGTTGGGAACCACTGCTCTGGAAGAAAGAAGGGATATTTTTAAAATAGAATAAAATAAAAGCGATTCTAAGAAAACTTGTTGTTTCTAATTCTCTTTAGTGCTTTTGTTTTTGGCATTGTGTAGCAGTTTGTATTTTTAAAGCACTCTTAAAAGAAGGTAATAAAGCAGAAGACTTTATGACAAATGATTACAAAGGCAATGAACTATATTTTCCCAAAAACATAATGCAGTCTCTGGGACTTCCTCCAGAGAATGATTTTCCTTCCATGGTTGTAGTTCTTCCTTAACATTAAAATTCCACTTCTTGCCTCTGCAGCAAAGCTAAGTGCTCTCTGCTTTTGTTACTTCTTCCGCACCTGCTCCCCACCCTCATAAATGGAGATTTTCTTAGATGCAAGGCTCCCCCCACCCTAATTTTCTTTTTGGTACTAGGAAGAACAAATTGGGGTAAGGCTTTGATGGCCACAAAGGCACAGAGGGCTGAGATCTGCCATCAGTTCAGTGCACAGCTGTCTTGTTAAATCATGCACTTGCAAGCAGATGGAGGCTAAGGCTGGCATTCTGATAAATGCTCCCAAATTATGTACAAACTTCTAGTGTGATCTTGCTAAGAGTGTTAGTAGCGTTGCAATTCTGGTCTTCACAAATATCGTTGTGGCTGTGGGATTCCAGTTGCAGAAAAAAGGCAATCAAAATGATCAAGGGACATGAGCAGCTGCCCTCGGAAGGTAACAACATTTGGAGTTATTTCATCTGAAGGGCAAAGACTGACTACAAAGAGGCATGATAAAAATGCACAGAAGCAAGCAGAATGTAGAGAGCACAGAAAGGGAGGCTTCTCTCCTAACTCCAAAAGGTTTAGTATGCCACTAAAGCGGAATAGTGCAAGATCCAAGACACATAAGATGGCATACATCTTTACAAGGTGAATTTGTTACAGAACCCATTGCTCCAAGATGTGGCAGTAAGAAACAACTTATATAAAGAGAAAAGATCAGAAAGTGACCATATGGTACACAAAAGATAGAACCATGCTGGAGACAAAATAGGAAATACTGTACATGTCCTTAACCATCTTCTTACACAGACATGTTCTGCTGAAATGAAAACAGACAGAACATTAGTTTAAGATGCAGAAAACAAGTGTGGCATATAGTATGGAAATCATGCTTGATATAAGCATGTATGTCAATGCCTATATTGTGCTGAGCATATCTAAATCAGTGGTTCCCAACTTGTGGTTCGTGGACCACCAGTGGTCCGCAAGAATGAAAATATGGTCCACAGCCTCACAATTACTACACCGTTGCCTCAAAAGCATGTGTCAATGAGAGCGACTGGTCTCACAAAACCCTCTTATAGTGTCAAGGCAACGGGAGGGGAGAGGTTGACTACCAACAAAATATTACTTCTACCACATCAACTCTACATTATTGAATATGGTTTTCTGTGGGTGAGCAGATGGCATATGTTCTGTATCAAAAACTTGAGCTGATGTGATCGATCCAATGCAATTTTCTGAATCAGTACCACAAATAAACAAACCAAATCTAAAGTTGACCAATCTAAAGTTGATTTGTAACCCTTCTGGTACTAATGTTGGAGAGTGCTCCCTGGTCCCTGGTAAAAAAACAAAAACAAAAAATGTTGGGAACCACTGATCTAAATGAACTAACGGACTGCATTCATGAAATTTAAGGAGTTAAAATTTCCCCCTTAGACATGCTGGCAGGGATAATGAAACTCCATTCTTGCGATAGTCTTGCCTAAAACCAAAGGGACTACAAATGGTTACTAACAATAGGACTCACAGAGGTTAGCACTATTAATTAGCTACTTCTCATGGATCCGTCTAAAACTTCAAAGAAGTCTTAAGAGACATCCATGCCATGAAAGGAAATTTACAACGACCTGTTAATTTTTTAATTGCTGCCATCCAGGCCTGGCCACGCAGCCATAACATTTGTTATTTAAGCTTAAGGCACATGAGAACATGTAAACAACTGAGTTGAGAGGAAAAGGGAAATGTTGCATCTTGAGATATAACACTGGGTTTTCCATGCTTAATGCTCTCTCTAGCCTGTATGACTTGGGGGAAAAAGAATCCCCAAGGTCTAGCTGTAAGTAGGTTCCTTCCTATAGGTCTGCACTTCCTGACACTATTGGTAAAAACTAATCAGAAGCCAACTGCACTATCAGGGTCCCTATGTTTTTGTCTATCAGTTTTCTGTCATGAGACCACAAGAAGCAAGGTGCAACTGCACTCATGTTTTGCTTGAGGGCTTCTAATGGGAAACTGGTTTGATAGTTCATGGATTGGACAGGTCTTTGAGCTGATCCTAATCTGATTCTTATGTTCGTAAAAAGCCAACATATGGTTGGACTTCAAAGAATCTCTGGTCCTAAAGAACACATGCAGCCCCCAAGTTACAAATATCCGACTTACAAACAACTCATAGTTAAGAATGGGGGTGAGACAACAGGAAGTAAGAGAAATCTACTCCTAAGAAGGGAAATTCACTCCTGACAGAGTTATCATGGGGAAAAGATATCTTCACTGAATCTTTCTCATCAATCCTTGTTTCCACAACAAGCCAATTTTTTTCAAAATCCAATGATCACAGGGACAGAAAGTGAGGTTAAATCTTCTGAACAGGGACCCAGACAG